GTCCTTGAACAGTTCTAGCTGCGCCATGTAGGCCAGCGAGTCTCCTTCTAGGCATTACGTAGCAAACAGCACTCTCCCCGTGCAGTCTGGTTTGTAAGGCTGTCCAATGATCCTTGTTAAAGCCAAGCCAAACTCATTGCCGTCAAGTCAATTCCAACTCATAGCAACCCTACAGAACAGAGTAGAACTGCCCCACAGGGTTTCCAAGGAGCAACTGGTGGATTTCAACTGCCGACCTTTTGGTTAGCAGCTGAACACTTAACCACTGTGCCACCAGGGCACCATAATCCTTGTTACACTTGAGAAATGTTTTGGTCATTTACCTCTTGTGTTCCCAAAGATGGGGATTAAAAGGGAGGCATCCATTCTTTATAAATAAATCAGTAAGTGGAGATGAGCGCAAGGCTACTCACGTGCAGCTCCTGCTTCTTGAGGTCTTCCAAATCTGGGAGCTGTCTGGTCGTGAACTCAATCCTGGCCGTGATGCTGTTAACAATTAATTTAATGCTTGGGTAATCCTTCACGTATGAGATATTATTTACAGAGGGCTGGTGGTGGTGTTCTTTCAGGTCACCAGGGCCTTCGCTGTCCACCACGCCAGGGTTACTGAGGAAGCCTCCGTAATGGAAAGGCGATGGGATCAGGAGTTCTTGGTGGACCCCTGAAAGGATGTAAGACGCCATCACCAAGGTCATGATTACCAGTACAAACACGAGGCTACATCGCATCCCCTTCCTGAAGCGCAAAAACCCGCCCCAGCTCTCGTTCCCTTCCGTCCTCACTTCGAGAACAGCAAGCAAGTTCATCTGCTTACTGTCCACGCGGAACAGAATCTTGTTTTCTCCTTTGCACGCCGGGCACGCTTGGTGGCTGGGATGCGGGCCTCCTCGGCAGCCGACCGGCTGTGTGCACGTCTCGTTGGGTAACAACTGTATACAGCAATTAATGCAGTGCCTCATGGTAGTGCCCTTTGACTGCTGGCTTAGCAGGCCATGGGTGAGCCGCCAAGAAGTCCAGATGCCTGCAAATGGTGCTGGAAAACTTTATGGACGTCTTGTGATTACAGAAGATGGTCGGAAGGCACAAGCAACAGAAACAAATGGAAAAACAAGCAGAAGCCAGAAGACCGTAGAATAAGAAAGTGCCTTCTTTGGTTAGGCTCTGAAAGGCAACGCAAGGATGAGATCTCCAGTGGTCACGTTCTAGAAAGGTCACTAGAATCGGGGGCAAAGTTGCAAGTTTAGGAGCAACTGTGCCTGCCCTTCAGGTTTTTCCCATGGCACAAAATAATGTGAAAGAATTACCACTGGAGGGCATGGAAACACACAACAGGTTGGAAGATACCATTGTCTTCCCATTGACTAATGAGTTGGCATCCATCCATGGAGATGCTCATGAAGACTTCTTCTTTTACATCCTGGGTACCTTTGCAATGTTCTTCATTGGCGGCAAAAGTTTTCAAATGTCAGATGACCTAAATAAAAAGAAAG